TGTGTGTGTGTGTGTGTACCTGTTTTTCTATTCTGGTGGGGACTTAAACCTGACTACACACAGACTCATGGGGACTCGTGTCACGGTGGGGACCTAAATTGAGGTCCCCACGGGTAAACAAGCTAATAAATCACACAGAATGGAGTGTATTGAAAATCTAAAAATGCAGAAAGTTTCCTGTGAGGGGTAGGTTTAGGGGTAGGGTTGGTGTAGGACAATAGAATATACGGTCTGTACAGTAGAAAAACCATTACGCCTATGGAGAGTCCCCACAAGGATAGCTGACCAGACGTGAGCGTGAGTGTAAGTGTGTGTCTGTGTGTCTGTGTGTGTGTAAGTGTGTGTCTGTGTGTGTGTGTGTGAGTGAGTGTGTAAGTGTGTCAGAGTGTGTGTGTGTCTTTATTTTAAAGAGGATTTGTTATAGAAGCGCCTTTGCTTTTAAAATGAAATGTGGACTTGTTTTCTTGTGTCTAGAGTACAATGACTTGAAACACGAGCTGCGTGAGTTTCTTCAACAATCTGCAAACCAGAGAAAGGTGAAGATGAGAACAGCTTCTATGTCAGTCACTGAGAAAAATAAGAAGTGAACTCGATTCTAATGGATGTAATTTGTTTATAGGACGTCACTCCTGAGGCTTTCCATGAGTTTTGGGAGGAATTGCAAACAAGAAAGAAGAGGCGGTTGAACTGAACCCATCAACATCACACAGATTATTATGGGACTGTACATCCTTTGGCTGGATCCACTTTAATAAAGTCTCAGAGCAAAAACACTGATGCTAGTGTGCAGACCTTTTAATTATTTCATTATTATTGCTTTTAAATTAAGTGCTTTGCCTCAGAATCTCTAGTCTTCCTCCGTTAATTCTCAGTAGGGCTTGTAACTCGCTGTCTGTCCAGCTGATGAAGCACTTCTCCGTGTTTGATTTGATCAGGTTAGCAGTGCTGATGTAACAGCTCAACAGCACTGGGATGTTTCAGTGCTTGTGTTTGTTCCATACTGTGTTAGTGCTGGGGATTTTAGTCACTCTTTCTGCAGTTACATCGACACGCCAGAAGGTGGAGACAGTTCATTTAGGATTTGATGAAACTGATTCATTATAAAACACTGCTACTACATTTGCTGAACTTCCTTTATTATCATTCAAAATCTACATGCTATAAATTACATAATTTATTTACAAAAAAAAATGTAATTGTAATCAGTCACAGTTACTGAGAGGAAAATGTTAACGATTACAAAGGGGGTTACATCTGAATATTTTTCACACACACATACAGATTTAATTGATTTCTTATATATAGTATACTCAGTTTTATATACAGTATAAAGAAACCTCTTCTTCATCTGTTTATTTTAAAATCAACTGTTGAAGAAAATTAAAACAGAGAAACGATTATTTTACAGAACACGTATAAAGGCCGATCTGATCTGGTGTTCTAGCACGTGTTGAAGATGAAGTCGATATTTAATCAATATTTATTTCATGACTCGATCAGCATTTGCTCCGGAGCTCGACGCGGAATACTCCATTCTGTGTGCATGAGAGTTCTGCAACAAAGCGTTTTTAGATCTGAAGCCACACGCTGTCAGCAGCTCAGTGTAGATGCTGTAGTGCAGGGTTAGTGTGATGCTCTGCTGAGCTCCGCGTCAGTCTGCAGGGCTTGCACCTGATCATCAGCTCTGCTGCTCGAACCACTCACAATTTCTCATTTGATCTATAAATCCTGGAGACTTTCTAACATGTCTACGAAGGCAGAGCAATGTAAGTATGACGACGCTTGCTGCTGTGTGATTTATGGAATATATGGAATATAATAGAATATGTGAATGAAGCTGTGTGTGCTCGATGGGAGCGGCGAGGTGAAGATACACATATGTGTGTAAAGAGATACATACTGTACAATACGGAGATGTTAAAATGTTAGAGCTTCACGATAACAGCCGACGGTAAGATTTTAGATTTAGATAATGTGTTGCTGAAGACAGAAGATGTGATGTATTTTTTCAAGGTCGAATAGTCAAGTCACCCCTGCAGTAAAACACAAGCTCGAGTTGTTGTTTAAACGCTGATGAACTGCATGAATTTGTTCATCTAATCCTACAGGAGTGCAGTATTATTTTGATAAATCAGGTAATGGTTGATGATGTCTGTGATGGTGTAGATGACCAGTGTTGTCTGTGCTTTTTGGTAGAGGGCGCCATTTGCTTTCTACCGTCTGTTTTATTGACCAACAGACTGTCCACCTCAAAAATACGCTTTCATGTAAATTATAGCATATTATAAAATAACTCTGATACTTTGCCTGATCATTCTTACTGCTATTCAAACACAGGCTTGTAGTCTATAACTGGATGCTGAGCTCAAAACACCTGATCCTGACTGGACACGATGCCCAGCAAACACAGAACGTTCCCCTAACCTTAGTTTTCGGATCCCGTTTGGTTAGTTTTTGGGAAACAAATACTAACGTTAAGGGAACGTCCTTTTTAGGTTATTTCTTTTGTAACCATAAAATAACGTTCCCAGAACGTTGCATGGTGGTTATTATTAAATAACCTAAAAATAGCTTATAAAGAATGTTCCCTAATGTTTTTTTTTTATAACACAGTAAAAATATCTTTCCAATTAAAACGTTGTAGTTTTTTTGTGTAATGAATGACCTATAATTCGTTTAATGCAGCATTTATCAAAATACAGAAATTAGATAAATCAAAAAACGTTTTAAATTATAATATTAAGGCAGGGTTAAGCATAGAGTGATGACAGAAATCATAACTTTGTGGACTTGTTTCATCTTCATTTACTGCCCGCCTCTGATCTGCACACGCTTCTCCAGCACATGCTTTCAAGTCAAGTCAAGTCACCTTTATTTATATAGTGCTTTTAACAATACAGATCAAAGCAGCTTTACAGTATTAAATAGGAAAATAGTGTCAATAATGCAGAAGGACAATAGTAAACACTCAATCTTCAGTTAAATGCAGTTCATCATTAATTCAGTGATGTCATCATCCAGCTCAGTTCAGTTTAAATAGTATCTGTGCAATCAAGTCGACGATATCGCTGGACATTAAGTGTCCCCAACTAAGCAAGCCAGAGGCGACAGCGGCAAGGAACAGCCATCAAGTCTTAGGGAGTGTTCTAGGTTATTATATGCGGAGGTTTTAGGTTCGATAATTAACACCTCTGTTTTTTCAGAATTTAGCAGTAAGAAATTACTCGTCATCCAGTTTTTTATATCCACTATGCATTCCATTCAAACTGTTTTTTCAAATTGGTATGTTTCGCCGGGCCGCGAAGAAATATAGAGCTGAGTATCATCAGCATAACAGTGAAAGCTAACACCGTGTTTCCTGATGATATCTCCCAAGGGGAACGTAAAGCGTGAAAAGTAACGGCCCTAGTACTGAGCCTTGAGGTACTCCATACTGCACTTGTGATCGATATGATACCTCTTCATTCACTGCTACGAATTGTTGGTGACTTTCACTGGTCTTCTACAGAGAGCCACACACTCACGGAATTTAAAGATTAACGGTCATTTCGTTTTACTGGCTGACTGACTCGCTCGTTTATTGATCTATTTATCGAATGATTACTTAAAATTAATATAGTTATGAGAGTAAATATGATTTTGGAGGGATTTGACATGCTTAACTGAAGAGAACATGATGTTTTTGTTTATGGATCAAAAAAAGAATGTTCTGGGAACTTTCTGGGAACCAAAAATTGTTAGCTGGGTGTGCTGCGTGTTGAACACCACAATATCTGTGGTCAATAACACTGATCTAATGTAGGCCTAGTCTCAAAAATAAGACTTTATAACTGATTGTATATCATGCTAAAATGTAGATGAGCATTTAGTCTATAATCTTAGCAGTCACTGAGGGTTTATACAGGTTTATGTAGGTCTGGCCCTATGGGAGACTGTGAAAACAGTCTGTCATAAGATTACAAGATCCTGCAGCAACGCACTGTAAAAACTGCACATAATATAAAAGGTCAAATGGTAAAAAGAAATGTTCATAATATAAATAAAATTGTGAGCACATATAATGTAACTTTTTTGCATACTGTAATAGGTTGTGATTATGTTATGGACTCATTATGGTAACTCGTAATAACAAAAGCATAATTTATAACTGCATAATCTAATGAATTACATACAATAAACAAAGCTAACAAAATACTTAAAACATTTTGTATTTCTTTACAATAGTCCATAATTTAATTTCTCTGTGTTCATTACTTAAGGAAAGCTATTTTTCTTTATGCAGAATTTTGACCTTTTTTAAGCATTTGAAATCACTAATAATCAAAAACATTCTGTTGCCTTTAACTCACACTTTAGTTGTGAAAATCTGTCTTCTAAACCTGTCTTCATCATAGTAAACTTAACTTACATTTGAGCTTGTTCTTCACATGAATTCAGAAGACTCAGAATATATAGTCAATATGGACTACGGTTATGACATTAAACTGTCATAAGTGTGATAACCGTTGTCCAGGTTATGACACTTTTATGACCGTTTAATGTCATTTGGGAGCTTGACAGACCCAGTCTCTGTTCACTCTCATTATATAGGAAACAGACATGCAGACATTCACACAGATTTTTAACAGAATGATTCTTTTGAGCTATTTGTTTCAATGAATTGGTTCATTGATTCAACTGTTGCCACAATCATGAAACAAACATGTTGTTGTTGTTTTTTCATTTATTCATATGCTACTCCAGATCCATAATTTTCCTTTATGAAGTGGTGAAGTCTGCTGCTGACAGCTCTGAGTTAGATCACTTCTCTCTTCCTCAAAAATGTCTGATGTTATTTTATTTTCTCATTGTAAGACAGAAAACAACATGATGAGAGTTAAAATAGACGCAACACATCATTACCCAGCATGAGAAATAAGAGAAGTGTGTTCCAGGAGTCATCGTGATCCGGCCGTCCAAACACAGACGCTGTTCTGTGACACATCTGAGCTCCAGCGGTTCGGTCACTGCGTTCATTTGTCCATCTGACAATCCAAACTGTCTGATGTGGAAAACTCACTCGAAATGAGAGCAAGTTAGAAAACGTGTCTAGTTTCAGCTGTAATGCTGTGAAAATACAGATGTCCGTTTCAGAGAGATGTTCATTTACTGATTTCTTCATCAAACAACACAAAGCAGCAGCAGCAGTGGATTGTTGAATATTATGAAATGTTAATTATGTCACTTTGCTCTTTATTTGTTTAGTTGGCTCTAAGATTCGATACTTGCAAGAGTATCACAACCGTGTGCTTCACAATATTTACCCAGTGCCATCGGGAACAGACATTGCAAACACTCTGAAATACTTTTCCCAGACCCTGCTCAGGTAAGTGCACTACACTGGAAATAGGTGAAACACTGCTAATGTTACATTCTAATGATAGGCAGGCCTAGTTTCATTATTACAAAGCAGATAAATATATCATCTATCTAAATCTGAGAATTTCAACAGCCACCGAGACAATAGAGCTCTGTATTATAATCAGATATATGCAGTAACATCATGCATACCAAAAGTACACATTTTGAATAAATTCAGGGAAGTCCTGATTTGAATATTGTTTTTGTTTGTCTTTAATGTTTGTCTTTTAAATGTCAGTAGCTTTATGAAATACAGTTGAC